TGAAACTCATTCTTGCCAAACTTTAGACATATAACGAACTCTGTAAAAATATTCGCAACGGTCAACCAGGCCTGAGCACCAAGTTTTCGTGTCCCTTCAGTTGAGATGTAGGCATGTCCTTCATTCAATGCAGCTGAACCAGAAATGAAAAAGAAGAGTAAACGGTATGTGTTCAAAGGATTCGTAGGAGGTATCCATAAGAGGTATTTTAAATAGAAAGCATTCAGTTCAGCCAAAAGGAACACTGAAATAACTGTTAAAGACATTAAGAAATGTGGAAGGTCTTTTGTCAATGCCCAATCGAACCTAGAAGAGTTAAGCAGAATGAAACAAGTGCATTACTTTGTCCAAGAGTAAGGCGTGAACTGCTGCACCGCTCTTTTTACCTTGCCACCAACTGACGGTATTTGCTTAAACCCACGCCAAGAGTATTCCTTCAATGACATGTAGTAATTATATTGCATGCCCAGCCATAAACCCAATAAGTTGCATACGGAAACATCCAGAATCCAATGATCCCACCAACATTCTGCAAAGTTTGGTAACTGATGCTGTAACGAGTATTCCAGGACTTCAAACATGATGGACATAATCCAAAGAATCCAATAATCCCTCAACATGATACCCTTAGCAACCCAACCAAGAACGTGAGCAACAACGAACTCATCCATTTGTTCCATAACATTTGCGTAACTCAACTCGCAGTTGTCAGCATAACTTCGCTCTGGTAATTGCAAACCGAGGGAGGGATCAACATAGCGCAACAATTGACGAACGTCATCCACATTCTGAAACAGAATCCATACAAGTATCAACTGATAAATCGCAGAGCTTGAGAGCACAATACGCCATGCAGCTGGGTGAGGTCGAATGAAATTACCATCCGGAAACATTAGCAAGCCAATTAGAGAGAATGTGACCATCATTGCGACTAGGCCCATTTTACTGTTGGTTGCAAAATCTGTAGAAGCAGTAGTGTAGACAGCATTGTATAGGAAGGCTATGAGCATGAGCACAAGCGCAGTTATTGTGTGCGGCGTGTAAAAGAAGCTCAGAGTATCAGAATCCTGTTGAGCCAAAGTCTGTGCAGCATCGTCTTTAGTTTCGGTAATATGCGGGGCACTTTCGATAACTTCTGTAGCAGCAATTACTTCTGCAGGTCTCGACGAACTTCTCGTCCTTGATGAGCTCCTTCGTTTGGTTTGCGCCATCGGTCGCTTTGGGAAAACTTTAGCTTAGCGTTTCAAGGGCATCACAATATTAGGGGAATGGCCTTTTAGAATCAGCGCTCATAAAGTATTTAGGATAGGCTCTTGACGTTTAAGCATGCTCAGCGACACCGTAGCACCCTCTAAGCCACATGAAAGTGTCAAACATTCGACACGTAAACAATCATTCTGTTTCAACTGCAACTCTTTGAAATAGAATGACTGAAACAAGCTCTACTGTTGGTAGTCAGAATTCCACTTTGGTTTCTCTTGACTCTGATATCATTTGCCCAGAAGCTGTTGAACACGCTTTTGTTGCAAAGAGTGCGTTCAATTTGAATCTGCTATCAAGCGTTGCTGTAAAGTTGCGCGAAGTTTCTCAGAATACAAAAGGAAAGCGCAAATGTAAAAGGTGCGGCCGCACAGAAGGCGTTAGAAGAAAGCCTCAAGAAGAACCTGGCTCGTTTTCAAGAAAACCTGATGGAACTTATTACGCGCAATGCGATAGATGCGTAATCTATAACAGAATGAAAAGAAACTTGCGTGAGAAGGCTAAGTCTTAAGCTTTAAATAAACTGTCTGATTTTCTGTTGAAACCTGCCCCTGAACATTTTCCAAGATTTTCTGAGATTGAATCAAATAGCAAATGGGCCGTTACTGTCAATTAGTCGTTGGACCAGCAGGAGCCGGAAAGGTAAATGACGCCTCGCATTGTCCTGAAAACTGATATTTTAGTCTACGTACTGCTTTACTATGCAGAAGCACTTGGAAACCATTAAACGATCGCATATAATGGTCAATCTCGATCCAGCTGCTGAGCAACTTTACTATGAGCCAACTGTTAATATACGCGACTTGATTTCTTTGGATGAGGCGATGGAAGAAGTAGAGCTGGGCCCTAATGGCGGTCTGATGTTTTGCATGGAGTACCTTTTGGAGAATATCGAATGGCTTGAAGATGAGATTTCCCCTGACACTGTTTCGCATGATGAGTATATCATTATCGACTGCCCTGGTCAAATTGAGCTGTTTACTCATTCTGATATTATGAAGAGACTCATAAATGTGTTACAGTCGAGGTTGAGTTTGAGAGTCTGTTGCGTGTATCTGCTAGAGAGTCAGTTCATGTCAGATTATTCAAAGTTCTTTTCTGGTGTTTTAACAGCGATATCTGCAATGGTGCAGTTAGAAGTTCCACACATTAATGTTTTGTCAAAGATGGATATGATCGAAGGAAGGCCAGGTGATCTTAAGGAAAGACCAAAAGATGATGATAAAATTCCATTGACCTTTGATGAAGAAGAAGAGGAAATGCTTGAGAAGAAAAGACAGGAGTCTGGTCTGGATTATTACATTCATCCTGCTCCGCGTGTTTTACTTGAGAACGCATTGGCTGATCACAGAACACCTACAGGCGATAGAAACTCTGTTGGAGCAAGGAAAGCAGAGAAGTGGCGAAGACTTAATGAGGCTATGGTACATTTATTGGAAGAGTTTGACATGGTCTCATTCATTCCGTTAAACATTTATGACCAGGATTCTGTCGAATACACAATTTCGTGCGTCGATAATTCGATTCAATACGGCGAGGACGAGGAGCCTAAAGAGCCAAAGTTCGATGAGGGAGATTACGAAGATCTTGAATAACTGGCCCTTCGCTACAGGATTAGTTCAAATAAAACCAAATCTTACTGAGAAGAGCGTTACACGAATCGCACGATTTCTCGGCTACGCTGGTGGAGACCGTACAAGTAAATATGCAAGCATACTCACCTGTCTTTAACCACCAATTAAATTTTGCAGTTAGCTGACGAAACATCATGCACGATTCTTCCTGGAGAACGCGAGTGATCTTGTACCTTTGTTTGCATTCAAATCCAAGAAAACGTGCCTGATATTTCGTGCAGCGTTGATGTCCCTGTTCCAAACAGTTAAGCAATCTAAATTNAATAACTGGCCCTTCGCTACAGGATTAGTTCAAATAAAACCAAATCTTACTGAGAAGAGCGTTACACGAATCGCACGATTTCTCGGCTACGCTGGTGGAGACTGTACAAGTAAATATGCAGGCATAATCACCTGTCTTTAACCAACAATTAAATTTTGCAGTTAGCTGACGAAACATCATGCACGATTCTTCCTGGAGAACGCAAGCGGTCTTTTACCTTCATTTGCATTCAAATCCAAGAAAACGTGTCTGATATTTCGTGCAGCGTTGATGTCCCTGTTCCAAACAGTTAAGCAATCTAAATTGCAGACTTTAACCGCCCAAAACTTAGTCGGTTTTAACTCATGTAAGCAGAATGAACACAACTTGCAGGATTCTGATGGAGCCAGATATACCCCCTTTAAGAAAGCGCATTCGCACTCCAGCTCGCAGCATGTGGGCGCTTGAGCTGGAGCTCTGCGCGATAAAGGCGTTCACATTAACTACAATTCAGATGTTTACAGACATAAAGACAGATATAGGTAGGGCGTGGCCCAANGTTAATGTCCCTGTTCCAAACAGTTAAGCAATCTAAATTACAGACTTTAACCGCCCAAAACTTAGTCGGTTTCAACTCATGTAAGCAGAATGAACACAACTTGCAGGATTCTGATGGAGCCAGATATACCCCCTTTAAGAAAGTGCATTCGCACTCCAGCTCGCAGAATGTGGGCACTTGAGCTGGAGCTCTGCGCGATAAAGGCGTTCACATTTACTACAGTTCAGATGTTTACAGACATAAAGACAGATATAGGTAGGGCGTGGCCCAAGCAAAAATTGTCCAGGGGCTAAGCCAAAAGACTTTCCTATCCGGACCTAAATCGCCGAGTGCAATACGAAATAAGTCCAGACAGCAGCAGGATTCTTGAGCCTGCTACCCCAGAAGGTAAGTGGTGAACAAATGTGAATTTTTTGTTGGGCCGCTCGACAGTCCGGTTTTATTGGATGATTGAAAGCAGAGTATGCATTACGAGAAGAACTTTGAAGCGAAAACGCTTTAAGAGAGCAGAGGAATTTAAGGCTATATATACACGTTAGCTGCTTGTTGGAAAGGATGCAAATTAGCATGGTAAAAATGCACAGGATTAATAGCCTATTTATAGTAGCATTCAAAATTTAAAGACACGGATAGCCAAATAATGGCAACATGTCGTATATGCTCAAAACAGCCAAGAGATCTTTCTATATTCTTGTTTAAACGCTCAGGTAATTATTTATGCACAAGCAGAATTTCCGTAGTGTTTATAAACCCATCTAAAATCAATTCTAATGTTATAATTCAACACCTCTATTGGACTATCACGTGCGGTCTCCTTCCGTTTTGGGATATCTCATCGATATGGAAACAACAACAAACAATGATGCTCAATTGATTTCTTTAACGTGTTAATAAAACATCTTAATTAACACACTTCCTTGAATCCTTCGTTGAAATCTGTTCTGTACTATAACACAGTTGAAAATTCTTCGGGTGATTATAATAGAACTATATTGACTAGACGTGTAGATCTAACCGGCTCTGTCAGAAATAGTGCGAAGATCGGCCGCCTTTTATATTCCTCCGGCGGTATCACGATGTGACATCTATAAGATTGAATCTCCGCTCTATCCAATGANAATTCAACACCTCTATTGGACTATCACGTGCGGTCTCCTTCCGTTTTGGGATATCTCATCGATATGGAAACAACAACAAACAATGATGCTCAATTGATTTCTTTAACGTGTTAATAAAACATCTTAATTAACACACTTCCTTGAATCCTTCGTTGAAATCTGTTCTGTACTATAACACTAAAGTATTCAGTCGGGTGGCGCAATAGGCAGCGCGCAGGGCTCATAACCCTGAAGTTGCAGGATCGAAGCCTGCCTCGACTACTTTTTGTATTTTTTTGTTTGAGATCTGGCAGCGAGATTCTTTTTAACACTAATGACCTTTACTGAGAAATATTACATTTTTCGCATTAAATTTATTCATTTACTAAATCGCGTCGGCTACAGCTGCGTACCCCGTGTTTATGATCACTTCTGGAGTGACTAGGAATAACGAATTATGGTTTNTGGAACATATTGGTTGATGACGCCTGCTGGACAGCGGTTTGATAGCACTGTTAACCAAAGTGATTTAGCACCATGTTTGGAACCTGTCGAGAAGAATCGTTCCTTTTTTCATGATGGAACTTTGAGATCTGAGGACGTTTTGGGTGAAGACGACGAGGCGTCTTCAGAGGGGGGATAGTGTTATAATTCAACACCTCTATTGGACTATCACGTGCGGTCTCCTTCCGTTTTGGGATATCTCATTGATATGGAAACAACAACAAACAATGATGCTCAATTGATTTCTTTAACGTGTTAATAAAACATCTTAATTAACACACTTCCTTGAATCCTTCGTTGAAATCTGTTCTGTACTATAACACAGTTGAAAATTCTTCGGGTGATTATAATAGAACTATATTGACTAGACGTGTAGATCTAACCGGCTCTGTCAGAAATAGTGCGAAGATCGGCCGCCTTTTATATTCCTCCGGCGGTATCACGATGTGACATCTATAAGATTGAATCTCCGCTCTATCCAATGATCTATTCTCCATGTGACACTCCATGTGACGATCCACGTGATGTAACTCCTTGGCGATCGTCCGGATTCTTCATAATGATCTACTAGTTTTGGAGGTCCTGTTATCTTGAAGATACATCTTTCACTTCCTCCCCATCTTCAAGATCCCTCCCTGTAAAGTCTTCGTACTCTTCAAGTTTAGCATCTTTCCAAAAATCTGTAGGAGTTTCAGATACTCGGCATCTCTTAAGACGATCTCTATGAACTAAGTCTTGCTTTATGTTTCCTTTGGGATCACTTAACTTGTAGACTCCACTTGGTTTCGCTTCAACAATTTTGTACGGTCCGATCCAATTAGGCTTGAACTTCTCTTTGATCTTCGCAGGGCGGGATAGAAGGACCCATTCATCTTTCTTCAGAGGATCTTCTTTAACCAGCTTATCATAGTATAACTTTTTTTGTGTTGCATCTTGTCTAGTCCTCTCATACGCCGCCTCTCTCCAGAGCTTCAAGTCTTCTAAAACTTTCGCTCTTATTTCTGCTAAGTCTTTCGGATTCTGCTCAGAAAGACAAAACGGTGGGGAAGAGTCTCCTGGGATTCTAGCATCAACTCCATAAAGTAGTTTGAACGGGGAGAATCCTGTCGTTTGATGAAGACGAGTTCGACAATGAAACAACGCTTCTGGTAAGAACTTATCCCATTTGTGAGTAGCCGCGCCACAGCATTTGGCTATAATTCTAGTAAGTAGACCGTTGAAGTTCTCGACTTTACCGTTCGTGCGAGGGTGGTAGGCAGAGGTACATTTGTGTTTTACCCTCAGCAACTCAAGGTACCGTTCAGTAACTGATGCCATAAAGTTGGATCCTCTATCGGTGAGAATTTCGGCAGGACAACCAAAGTTGACGACGATTTCATAGTAGAGAAACTCAGCTACGTCCTTCACTGTAGCGTTCTTCACGGCTTTGGCGATTGGCCACCTAGTACAAGAGTCAATGGCTGTAATGATCCACTTATTTCCATCTTCAGATTCCTTTATGCGCCCTACGAAGTCCAGATTCCAACGAAATAATGGTTTGTCAAACTCTTGATTTCCAAACTGTTGAACCCTTGGGATGTTCGACCTATTTCCAAAGACTTGACATTGTTCGCATGTCTGCAGCCACAACTTTATGTCTCTTTTGAAATATGGCCACCATGCTTTCTCTCCAACTCTTCTTATGACTTCATTGGCTCCTGAATGACCGCTGCCTATGTGGACTTTCTCCACAAGATTTGCCCGCATGGTAAAAGGAATGAACGCTCGTTTGCCTTCAGCTGTCAATCGAAAAAGAATGTGGGACTCTTGACTCAACTCGAAATTGCTCATTTCATTCTTAATGAAATTCTTCATCTTTTCGGGAACTGTTTCAACCCCTTCTGTGATAGCTTTAAGAACAAGAAGAGGCCAATCTTCTTCCAAGAACTCTTCGGCTTCTCTCAAACACGGATCTGGTCCTTCAGGACCCATGACTGTGACTGCCTTCAAGTCCGGATTTCTGCTCATCAGATCCGCTAAGGAGTTAGTTGTTCCGCGAATGTATTCGATATCGATATCAAACTGTCCTAGAAACTCCATCCATCGAGTTTGTCTTCTAGAAAGGTTGGGTTGCGTTGACATGTATTGTAGAGACGAATGATCCGTCTGCACCGTTGTCTTTCGTCCCTCGAGATACGCCCTATAGTGTTTAAGAGCCCAGAAAATGGCAAGCATTTCCTTGTCGTGAACCGCATAGTTTCTTTCGGCCGTGTTTAGTGAGCGTGAAGCAAAAGCAACTATCACTTCAGCCTCCCCTTGCTTTTGTTTCAACACAGCCCCAACACCAAAGTCAGAAGCATCCGTTTGGAGAATGTAATCAAGATTCAGATCGGGAAGCGTTAGCTCAATATTTCGAGCAACAGTGGATTTGAGCTTTTCAAACGATGCTTGTTCGGTATTTGTCCATCTGAAATGAGTATTCTTTCGTATCAAACGAAGAAGCGGCTCAATGTCCGACGCCAAGTTAGGAAGATGGTCAGACACCCAACGAAGCAAACCGTGAAACTGTCTGATTTCTGATGCATTTTGAGGAGTAGGGAAATCTTGGACTGATCGAATCTTCTCGGGGTCAATAGATCGCTTACCGGCACTGATCTTGTGCCCAACAAAGATGATTTCTTTTAATCCAAATGAACATTTGGAAGCTTTCAGAAGGAACCCGCATTGTTTCAACTTTGACAGGACTTTATCAAGGTGATGTAGGTGTTGTTCCTGCGTTTCACTAAACACAAGAAAATCGCCGAAGTAAATCAATAAGAATTGATCGAACTCTTGCCCAAATATAGATTTTGTAAATCTCTGGAAGGTGGATGGAGAGTTACACATACCCATTGGCATGACGAGAAACTCCCATTGCTTCCCGGCTGCGCTGAATGCAGTTAATGGCACTGCTTTTTCATCCATAATCTCTTGTAGTCTCTTAACGCGCTTTGCAATGCTCCCTCGCACTCTATGGACAGTTTTTGCAGTACAGACAGTCCTTTCTGCGTTTCTTCTGATGGGATACCAGCTGCTTCAAATATTTCCATGCAGCTTTTTGACAGAGACTCAGAAGTGTCATCATTTTTAAAAATCGTCTTAGAGTCGGGTGTATGTGAGAAGATCCCAGCGTTGCGCATGTTTCAATTATGAAAATGAAGGTTGTCTAAATATTATCCGTTAGACAGTAAAACAAAGAACTCAAAAGAGTTTATTATACTCCTCCAGCTTATTTTCCAACTCAGTAATTTTGTCCTGTATCACCCTGCTTGTATCTGCTTCTTTAATTGGCTCAAAAGGTTTAATTCTGGTCAAATCCAATAGTACAGGATGAAGATCATACTGATTAGTCTCTTTACAATACTTTGGACACAAAGCCACATGCTCCCACTTCAAGTCAGAATGCATTTTTCCATGGCTAATCATTGTTTTCAGTGCCTCTTCCGCTGCTTGCTCGGGAGATTGTTGATATCTGTTAAACTGCTCCATGTTTACCAAATCAAAGTCAGAAACTTCGCTGTCTTTCAATACCGGCGTCGGACCAGACCAAAGACGCTTGTTCCATGCTGACATACCGCAGAACACAGGTCTACCGCCAAGAATCCTGATATGAAAACAAAACGGCATTAACAAAGCAAATCGTTCAGCGATTTCAACAACACGACATTTTGTACCCCATAACAAGTCCCACAGCTTAGCTTCCTCCTTCAACAATTCTTTTTCATTCTCTTTCTTCAGCAAAAACTTTAAAACACAAAGTTTTCCCATCAATGAACAGCCTAAAGCAACTCTCCCATCACCGCCACGATGGTAATACTGAAGAATAAAGAAACTGGATGCAGCGCCAGGCATTTTGTATGTAAAAGGTTTAGAGTCTTTACCCAACAAAGAATCAGGCAATGATTTGTATACAAAAGATTCTTTTCTAGCAAATACATATTTCTTGTGGGACTCTGCGAACCTATCAGGGGTCGAAATGGGTGTCTTATTAAGTTTGTACAATACGCTAGCCAATAACTCAATAAGAGCCTGTTCTTTGTGATCATAAACTCGAGTCATAACCACTGAAACCTTGTCGGAGATTGAATAATCATTTGCGGTGCCTGTATGACAAAGCAAATCATATCTTTGTTTGTCTTTTTCTTGAGCAGCAACGTCAGTATCTCTGAACCAAAGAACGCGCCATTTGTTGTAAGTAGAAAGGATTCCAAACACAAAACGCACGTTAAAATAATTCCTCAAGTCAATCATGTAATCTACAGTTTGGACAATCTTGTCCATGTTGAAACCAGGCAATTTCACTTCGCATACTCCGGCAATAGATTTAGTATTATTGACCAAAGCTGTAACATCGACTCTATCTTCGTGTTTAGCCATTATTCTAGATATCGAAAATGTCGTTTCTGTGTGCACATTTAAGTCATCAATTAATCCAGCCACTGCTAAAGAATCACGGAGCGCATCGTAGACAAATTTTTGAATTCCATCTTCTCCACTCCAAGGACCCAGTGTTTTATCACTACGTTGACTGACAGTATTCCAAAGATTCGATATCGTTGAGGCATTCAGTTTGTTTAGCTTCAAATCGTCCAATATTCCGAACTCAGCCTGTGTTGCCGTAATTTGGACATTATAAACCGATCGAGTCCTTGTAACGCTCTTGCTTGTTGACAGTTGTCTTTGACCAAGCAACGGAAATCCATTGACAACTACAGACAAATCCTTTTTCAAAGCCAATTCCTTTTCTTTTAGAAGCAAGA